AAATCTGATAATGAAGACAAATTGGATCTATAAGTTGAATCTGGAGCTGATTTCTTATTACAAAGTCTGGCATGTAGTTGACCTGCAAAGGCACTGAAACAGAGGAAGAGATGAAGAATTGAGACTCTGATGTGAGTCCCATCAAAAACACCTGCAGAGGATAACAACTGACGGGCATGTTGCGCAGCAGCCATGCTTGGGTGCAGGCTGCTAACCAAGCCGGCCACTGTTAGCTGAGACTTGGCCTCCACCTCACACTGGGGCCATAAGGAGAACTTTTACTGCAGAATATTTAAATATGTGTTCATATTGTGGTTGTGATCAAGTATATTACTTTTATCTGCAGGCCCTGCTGTCATATCTAGACATGTAAAACAGTCAAAAAACAAAATGATGTTCAAGAGGTTTCTTTATTTCACACGACTGTTTCCTCTGTGGAGGCAGGGATGGTAAGCCAGTCTCTGCAGGTCTTTGGTGCAATACTGATAAACCATTAACATGAAAAATATAAAAATAGTTATTTAAATAAAAAGTAGAAACTTCTATTGCTGACACACTGGCATGGAATCAGTGCAGCATTCACAGTCTCAGCTTTCAAACGTTGTATTAACTCCTCTGTGGAATGGCGAGCTCAGGAGTCGGCAGAACCGCTCCCTGTCGTTGCAGATGTCTCAGGATGTCCAGGATGGAGTCGAGCTCAAGGCGGAAAGCATCCATCTCCCTGCTCTTGTCCTGAGCCAGACGTCTCCAGTGCTCCAGCTCAGACTGCAAATCATCACCTGGCGTCTGCCACGCCCCCCCAAGCACCTGAAGGACACAAACAAAAGACCTCAGGTTGTATTTGATACAGTAGAACTACTTCATCTGACCTCTATGTGGATAATGTCATCAGGGGAAGTGCACAGTCTTCTCCACCAAACAGCGTATATGTTTGGCCACAGGTTCAGCAGTGTGTCTAACTCCGATGTCTGTGTGACTCGCAGACGGTTTCCCAGAGTCCAGGAGACGTTTAAAGTCATTTACAGCATAACTTTCAGGTCAGCTTACGTTTTCGTACAAGTTTGCCACAAGTTCAAGTTAGTTTCATTTACGCTGACAATGTGGATCCAGACCTGCTTTTGTTTGAACGTGGTTAGTTCAGGGGATCACCCACCGTGGATGTCCAAGCCTGTGTTCAAAGTTTATCACAACTGCTGATTTAAAACACCTGAATCTTGACCTTAGGGGTCACTACAGGTTCACATCAGGTTCTGGGTTCCAGTTTCTGTCAGCTAGTTGGGCCCTCACTGGTACCTGCTGCAGCTCCTTCTCTCTGTGCTGGTGTCTGAGCTCCATGTTCAGTATCTTCCTCTCCAAGGTGCACAGGAGTTTCACCTCTGAGCTTGAAGCTTCTTTAGCTTCCTTCAGCTCCTGCAGCAGTTTGGTTAGCTAAACACGAGACAGAAGCAGCTAAATTAAATTAATTAATTAATTCCAATTAATTATTGACACATTTAATGAATTATTTAATGGTGTATTTCATTAATTCATTTTGGCAGTCCTGGCATTCCATAATTCAGTCTTTCTGTGTACAATCCTGGATAGAGCCAGCACAGCGATCTTTCTCCAGCTCCTCACCTGCGTCTGCAGAGCATCCTCTCTCCTCCTGGATATTTTCAGTGCTTCTTTGCACCCCTGCGTTTCTTTCAGCTGCTTGTCCAGATGATTCATCATTATCTGCAGGTACATATGAATGTTAAAGCAGCAGGCTCATGTTGTACAGAGGCTGCTTGATGAGGGAGCCCTACCTCTTGAGTGCTCAGCTTATTAGTCAGTTCTGCAACCTTAGAGTCTGAGTGTTCGAGTGCATGGGTGGCCCGCAGGTGGTCCAACACTCTAAAGTGTTCTGCCTTCGTAGTGGATAGCTGCTCTTCAAACTCCTCTGTCAGCCTGGGAGATTAAATCATATCTTTAATTCAGGGGCAGCAGGTGATTGGCTGGGTTGTTGAAGAACATCCTGCTTCTTTGCAGGATGGGTCTCTATTTGCACTATGAAGCACTGTCCAATCAGCTTTGCCTGAATCTGAAGAGAGTGTAACTTTATATTCCTGAGAATTCATCAGCAGCACAAATGTTCCAATAGCAGCCACGCATCCCCAACGTGACATCCCCTTCACCGTTTTCCTGACAGATGATGTGATCTGCATCATCTCCACACTGTTTGTTCTTGAGTATAACCAGTGGTTGGCACTTTGTTGTACACCTGTGTATTGACGTTGACAGTGATATTCCCCATCAGCCTTTTATGGCTCAGGGATAGAAATTCAACACTGTAAATGAACTCTGATATTTAGTCTGCTTCACTGCTTTAAGTATAACATTTCCTAAACAGCAAGTGCAAGTAGAAGCATTTGGAAACAAGCAGAAAGCACACAGAAGCAAAACTACAAAACTGTACCTGCACAGCTGCTGCTTGGCCTGTGCAGCATCAGCCTTCAGAGCTTCCTTCTCCTGCTCGCTCTGCAGGAGCACAAGCTCCACCTGCTTTTTTAAAGCTTCGTTCTCCTGCAGAACCTCAGAGATATGACTCCCTGTCAGAAGGAAACATGAAAAAAATC